AAAGAAAGAAAAGAAAAGGAACGACTAAACTTAACACTAATTGGGCTTGTCCACTGTACATTCGTTTCTGGCGATACCTTTCCATTATGTTGCTTCAAGCGAGATATAGGAGCAACCAACTACCTCCACCAACCTGGGCTAGCCCAGTGCAGCGTAATGTAGCGGCTCGGGTTACTGTGGTGATTCGGGTACAACAGCAACCGGTTTTTCTAGTTTTATTTTCAATTTCGTGTTAGAAAACAGAAAAAAAACTAGTTAAAAAAACCCAATAAAAATTATATCTAAAAAATATGACCCCTTTTGAAAACTTGAGAATAATATTTTCATAACCTGAACATGTTTTAAAATTTAAGAGCAGTATTTGAATAAGTAGACTAGTTTTAAATTTAAGAAAAAAAATTATGAAAACATGAATACTTTTAGAAACTAATAATTTTTTTTCGAAAATTCTGAAAATATATTCACTGATTTCAGTATTTCATAAAAACATGAATTTCAGATACTTTTTGGAAAAAGAAAAACATAATAAAAAACACCAACACAGAAGGAACACAAAAACTAAAGAAAAGCAGAGACTGTTGAGGAATCTTCGATTCCTAAACCGTCAAGAAACTGGTCAGAAACCGGGTGTTGCGGTATGGGTGTTAGATGGGCTATCTCAGTAGACATCGATAAGTAAGTTCTTTTTTTTTTCAGGGTACATCGCTAAGTAAGTGTCCCGAGCATTTCTGCAACAATCTGATGCATCTTTCTTTTTCCGAGACAAACAATTTGACGCATCTCTATTCTCATGGAACATGGGCCGGGCTTAGGCTTCTTCATTTTTTGCATGTAACGGACATAATAAAATAAACAAACTGTAAAACATATTTTGAATTATTGAAAGTATGTATTTACAAAATAAATTGAAATTGCTTTTCTTGACAAGTTTCAATAATGTTAAGAAAAAACAAGTTCCTAACAATGGAGAAGAAAACTGCAGAAAATTAAAAGTGTTAACGTACATGCATAAAAAATTCTGTGCATCTATAAATCAAAATAATTATAGCCTCTTAAAGATGTGCATTTTTTAAAATATATTATAACATTTAAAAGTATAACTTTTTATAAAAGTTCATAGATTAGCTATATGTAAATTAAAATAGTTATTTACAAAACATATTGAAAATAATAATAAAAAGACGACAAAATTTAAGATCTTTGAATGTTCCTGTATATGAAAGAAATTGTTCATAGCATAGTTTAATTATATAATAAATATATCCACGTATTTAATTATTTCATAATTTTACAAAATATGGACTTTAAAAAATATTCATATATATGAAATTAGTGTTAATGTATTAATATTTTATTTATTTTAGAAAACATGGAATTATTATATGTACTCATACACTCGTAAAGAACTATATGTTCATGTAATGTGAGAAAATTTTCAGCACGTATAAAAAATGGAAAAAGAAAAAAATATAACCAAGGAAACAAGTGAAAGCATAAAAATAACGTTATAAAAATTAGAAACATAAAAATAGAACACAAAAGTCAACTGGATTAAAAGGGGTAATTAAACTGAACACAGACGAAACAAGTTAAGGCAAGCGACATAACAACCCACCGACAACCGACACCCCGGGTGAACCTGACGACAACCAATGTCCACGCAAGGCCAAAGACCCCCAACAGAGGAAGAAGGATACCAGGGTATGTGTAGCATGCACCTACACAAAAGAAGTTAGTCGGTCATAGCCCACGACACCAAGAAGTAGGGCAAGCATTCTAGCACACGCCATCCGACCAGGGCCCACGAATGCCAGAAGTTCGGATAGGAGGAATCCGCTCCTCGGCGTCGCTTGCATGGGCTTGGCCCAGCAACGCGCGCTGGCTCCCGTTCGCTAGCCGCCCACTCGATCGCTGGTTCACGCAGCACGCTCGATCGCTTTTTTTTCTCTTCCCTAGAATTGCTACATTATGTCATGATTTCTCTTAGTAAAAAACCAACAGGTTTTCTACAGTACATACTCTGGTTCTTAGGAAAAACTTCATTGAATTCGAAAAAAAGTTCATCAATTTTGAAAAAACAAATGTCGAATACGAAAAAAAGTTTATCAAATTTGAAAAAAGTTCATCAAATTTAAAAAAACTTCATCGAATATGAAAAAAGTTCATCGATTTTGAAGAAAAGTTCATCGGATTTGAAAAAAGGTTCACCGAATTCGAAAAAAGTTCATCGGATTCAAAAAAAATCATCAATTTTGAAAAAATTCGTCGAATATGAAAAAAGTTCATCGGATTTAAAAAAGGTTCATCGAATTCGAAAAAAGTTCATCGGATTTGAAAAAAGTTCATCGAAGTAAAAAAAAGTTTGCCAGGTTTGAAAAAAAAAGTTCATCGATTATGAAAAAAGTTCGTTGAATTTGTAAACAAAAAGTTCGTCCATTTTTCCGGAAAAAAGTGAAGAAATATTTTTTATCAAATTTTATAAAAAAAGGAAAAAGAAAAGGCGTAAGAAGAAAGTGTAGAAAAGATGTATATTATCACATCAAGCTTGGTGGCG